CACATAAAGTCTTTGTAAATTAAGCTTATGTGTTTGATTTTTCAAGAATGCTTGCTCCATGAAACAATATAACATATTATAGATTATGACAAAAGTTTATTAATTGCAAATTTTGTTTCAGATAATTCGATTTCTAATTAGATAAGTAATTAGAAAGCTAATTAGGTAGCAAGGTGAAATTTCAAACAAAAATAAAGTTATTCCATAATTAAATAATAAAAAATTATTAATCAAAATACACAGAAAAATGTAAACTGATGTAATAGACACATAAAAGCATAAGCAATATAAATTAGAAACTTATCAGCAATATGTTACTAATTACTAACAAACAACTAATTGTAGGACGAAAGTTAAAAAATAAAAGTAAAATAAATTATGACATATAATATAGAGCAGTGGTTCCCAATTAGTTAAGGCTAAGGAACCCTAAATGATCAACCTTCTTTAGGCGTAACTTCGACTTTATAAATAAAGTATATGAAGTCAAATATGAGATCAATCAATAAAAATCTAAATTCATTTGAAAATATTTTAAAAGAGAAATGATTTTTTTCATTATATTATCATTAATAAAAATTAGGTTTTATGTCCCACATATATTTAATATTTTCAGTCCTGGAGCTGAATGTAGTCTAGTTATGAATTTATTTTTGATGTATATAAACTGAAAATGAATAAAATAAACCAAATTATCGTTTTTGTTGAAATGAAAACTAAAAATAAACTTATATGAATGTTGGAAATGGCTATTAGGGAAACATATTTATCAACTAATTTAATTCTTTTTATTTTGATTTAAAAAGCAAATTTTTTTTTTTAAAATTTGGGTTCATTTCATTATGTATTATTAAAAAAATAATGTTTTCGTTTAAAAAAGGATGTCATTTTTTTCATTACATTAAATCATAGCATAAAGGCACTCATAATATTAAATGAATAGTAGATTGCTGATTGGATCAGAATATAATTACAAGTATAATTACAAAAATGATAAAAAATATCCTAACTCTCGGAACCCTTTTATTTCTTTTGAAAAACCTAGGGTTTTACGGAATAGCATTTGGGTACTGCTGATTTAGTTTTTCTTCTTCTTCTTTTTTTTTTTTTTTTAAAATCAGCAATTCAATTAATCAGAGATATGTAGGGAGAGTTAAGCAGAAATGGCACTTACAGAACAGATTCTTCTGATTCAGACACATTTTTTTAAAGAAACTTCTCTTTAGTTCCCATTTTTCAACACAATTGATAGGATCTAAGGGCAATTTTATGCAACAATGAATGATGAAACACAAAACAAAAGTTAACAACCACATTATACAACTGCACTCATGTAAAATGAAATAACTAAGTAGTCAATTAAGAGCTCAGATTTGTTAGAACATTTTTTACACCAATTTGATAAAATTATCATTATAAATTAATGGAGCACAACCTGTAATCCTCAAATTGTCATCAAAGTAAAATATGAAAAAGAAAAACATAGATAACAAGTGAAAGAAATTATTTTTATCTGTTACTCAAATTAATTTTAAAGGGGAAAAAAAAAGGAATTTATAACGTACCTTTCAACATTCTTTTTAAAATCAAAACATGTTCAGAACAACAAATGTAGCTCTAAGATTTATACAAGAATTAAAGCTGTATATAATCTATACACAGTTAAAAAAATAAATAAATAAAAGATCCAAATTTAAAAAATTTTTGAATGAAAAATATGAAGTATAAAATTTAATTTTAAAGTGCAAACCATCAAATGTTTTAGAATTTGAAATGATTATGCACATAATAATGAAATACAAAAATTACAAATTCCAATGATAATAAATTTTTATTTAAAATGAATTTCTAGTTGGTACTTTATACATGGTATATAATAGTTCAATAAGATATTCATCATAAGTAATCATAATTTGTCTAGTTTTAAATAAACTAATATCAAAGTCATTGCAATATTTTATAAAAAATAAAGTCTAATACAATCTTATATGCTTGTGATCAAAAACTTCTTAGATTACTAAATCATAAAAAAAAAAAAAAAATTAAAACTTATGCTTCAAATAAAATTTTAAGATCATAATAAGAACAAGTGAAAAAACATTCTTGCTAGTCCATTGGAAATCATGTTAAGTGTCAATTCGTTAATGCGCAGCTCCTTGTGTTAAAAGAAACATATTAACCAACTTATTAATCATAAGACTTTATATTATAATTCATAAAACAGCCTCCAAAGAGAAGTTTAGTAAGCAGTTTCTAGCTGTTAAAAATGTTATATCAAGAAATAAGGATAAAGCGTTAGAATTAAATACTGTTAATTAATTAATTTAACATAATATAAATATATAATACTTAAGTTATGTATAATATAAATACAGAATACTGTAAGAGGCTAGATTATTCCATATGAACCTGCAGAGACCAGCACCTGTATTCAAAGGGTTATAAATTTCTCACTAAAAGCAACTGTTTTAGTGATATTGATTTTAAAACACGTTAATAAAAATAAAAATAGAAAAGTGCTTACAATAAAAACCTAATCCTTTAAAAGATAGTTTGAAACATAAATTTGTATACTACTGTAAAAAGACTCTTAAGTCCAACTTAACCAATGCTTGGTTGATTTGGACTCAACCTTAACATCCCCTAATATAAATCAATCTCATCGCCTGATAGTTATGGACAATATTTTTTGCACAATTTGTTCAAAGGTAAACAAAAAAGAAAAAAACTAAGGGATAGAACCAAGAGGTAGAAAAAAAAAAATTGAATTCAGAGATTTTTTTCTGATTTATCAAGATTTTATAATAGAGTTTGAAATAAAATACATTTTGTTATAATATAGTAGTGATAAATTTAACTTAATAACATAAAGCTGATTAAACTTTGCTCATACAATAAAGAGCACACATTAACTTAAAAAAACAAAAACAAACTAGAATTAAATTATTCTTGGACATTAAAAGCCTAAAACATAAAAACCCTTCAGATGTTATATCAAATGTCAATTTGATAGTAACATAATACTCGATATAAAAAAAAAATTTCCACAGAAAAAAAAATCTTATTGTAAAAGAATATTTTCAAATGATGAGAATATACCACTAATTAATAAGCATATTTGAGGTTACCCCCTTGAACCGTTAAGATTGAGTCCTAGAACAAGAAGATGGGGGATTGGGGGAAGGGCCCAAAAAGGGCTATGCCTAGGGCCTACGAAAGGTATAATCCGGCTCTGTATATTGGGGATAAGCATAGAAAATTACCTTTGTAACTTTTGTAAGTAGCATTTCAAAGATGATATTTTCAAAAAGTAGTGTCTATATTCAACTATTTATATATATATTTATACACTAAAAATTATCTTTGCTACAAATAACTTTTAGTAAAAAAAAAAAAGCTCTACTTTGCCCCCCCCCCAAGAAAAAAGACATTCGGAAGGAGTGAAATGGAATGAAGAATTTGGAAAACCTTTCCAATAAAGTCTAAAAATAGGACTATAGTATGCCAAACCTCTGTTGACTAAAGTTGTACAAATATTCTTCAAAACAATAACTATACATATGAACTAAAACAAACCAAAAGAATAAATATTTGGGGTAAAAACTGATTGCACAAAATTCTCTCAAAAAGAAACTTTATATTCCATATAAATAAAATATGATAAAACTAATAATGTAATCTAGAACAAATAGAAAAATTCTGAATCCCTAGTAGGCAAATTGTATAACTAGAATAAATAAAAACAGATAATATTGTTCATTGAACCAGCAAGATTACATGAATTATTTTCAAAGCAAACATTCAAAATTCATAAAATTCAACAGCTAAATGTAACTTTTCATAAACAGTAGAATAGTTTCGTATTCTGAAAAACATTTTAACTTTATTGTTATGGAATAATTAAAATACTTGAAACAAGTATATGTAAAATAACTGTAGGTATGAAAATTTTTCCGATTTGCATGATATATATTTTAAAAGGGCTATAAAGTAAAGTAAGATACATTAGATGAAATATTATTTTTTTAAAAATAAATTTAATAACTTTAAATGGTTTACAAAATTTCACCACAAAAAATCTGATTTTGTATATTAGAATACATCAGATTAATATCCTCATGGAAAATATTTTTTCGCAGAAATTTGATATTTTAAAACTTGTAGAATTTCAAAATTTCAGAGAATGAACAGAAAAAGTGCAATTCAATAAGGATTTGAAGAATTTTTTTTTCACTATCATGTATTTATCTAAATAATATGATTCATGAATAGATATTAGTAAAACACTAGCAGTGAAGTGAGCAATATATATCTATTTATACATATTATCCTTCTAAAAAACTGTAACTGATCTACAAAAACAAGTTACTAACATTTGACTAAAAAAAGTTAAATCTTGATTAATTTTTATAACTTCTTAATGCATAAAAAAGCTTATAAGAATCCTTTATAAGGAATTAAAAATCAAAGACGTATGTGTCAATCCAGTTTTGTAAAAGTTATTAAATTGCTTGTTTTTAAAATATCTAATAATGCAGTGGCATTATTATGTGAAAGAAAAAGATCACAAAACCTTATTGCTCAAAACAAGTGAATTTTGATTAAAAAAAAAGTAAATTACAAAACTGACATTAGAAAATTTCAACCTGCTTTTGAATATTGCTTTAAGAGTGAAAGAATGACAGGCATTTTACAAATTTCTACTAAAAGTGTTTTGGTAAATACAAAACCCATCATCAATCATGCATTAAATACAAAAACTACTGTAATTTTTGAAAAAATAATAATGTTATTTTAATTTATAATTACACAGAGGCAATAAAAAGATAGTACAATGTAAATAAAAAGAGAAAGAAATATACATAAAAACACAAATGTAAAATTTCCTTAAAAATGTAAAAGTAAGTTAGTAGCTCACAACATACAGTTATTCTTTGAAAACAAAATAAAAATACCAAGGAAAGAAATTATTAAAATAAATTGAATATTTCATCAGTTACAATTGAAGTTAGAAGCATACATTTCTTATGCTTGTGATAACAAATATGCTAATGAGTTAGAAACACGTCATAGTTTTCAGTGCCTATCATTATTTTTAACATGGTTGGAAATTTTAAAAATTGGGAGAAAAAAAGTTGACTGCCGCTTTTTCGCGTAAGTTTTTCATCCCTGCATGAGCATGATTTTAATACAGTTCTCTAGTATAAGTATGCATACGTACTCTTTAGTACGTATAAACTCCCTGTTTGTGGGCCTGGGGATGTATTTCTTTTTTTCATTCACCAGTTTTGATGGGGTTATAAAAAAGTTGAAATACCTCTAAAATCTAAGAACTCAATGTAAAATATCAAAAATCTGCCAAACATAAAAATTATTTAAATCCACTCCTCTAAACTGTTTTTACATTTGTATTTACTAAATTATTCGTAAAATGCAAGTAAATAAATCTCTAATTCTTTGGTAAAGGAATTTAATTGGAAGTTACTTTGGAATTTGAGTAAAAAAAAAAAAAAAATTACACTATCTGCCAAATATTTATAGATAAAAAAAAAATACATTTAACTATTTCTATATTTCACATAAATAAATCCATATCCTTTTGCTAATGTTAAAAATTACTTCTGAATTTGACTTAAAATTAAAAAATTACATTATCTACCAAATGTTTAAGACATGACACAATTTATAAAATTAAAAAAAAAAACAAACAAAAAAAAAAAAACAATGTACATTGAAAAACAATTGTGAGTTGACAAGCCATTTTCCAAGCTGTTCAAAAAAATAATAAGGAACACGAGACATTAAAAAAATGCCATAATTATAAGGAAGTAATTGAGTTTTGAGAAGAGTTAAAACTAAAACTAAATCAAAACAAAAAATAATTATTTTTCCTGCATAGCACAAGCATATCTACAACTACATAGCACATGAAATGTATGAAAATTAATTTTGTTTGCACCAATTGAACTAATTTCATATCATAGCAGGGAAATATAGACAATGAAGCATGTATATTTACAATGATATATTACACATAAAATTTGTTATAACACGAATTTGAAAACATAACAATTGTGATAACAGTTATATCTTTAAGAGGATTCAGTTTTTAGTACCAAAATATGCATCATTAATAGAAGATTAAAGTGTACAAAAATAAGTTGCACTTTATACTAACATGTTATCATTTCATCTGAACTAGAAACCCACTTCAACACATAGACACAGTTTTCCTCGATAGCAGCAGTAAGTAAAACTCCTTCATCATTTTTCCCATCTAAGCCATCCAGCCAGTTAGTTTCACCCAAACATAATCGTGAACAGTTGGGTGTAGTTAATCTGAAAAAGAGTAACTTTGATTAAAAATTTAAACAGTTGTCCAAGAATGAAAAGGTCACTAAAATTTCATTTTAATACCAGGGTGCACAGCCAAATCTTACAACAAAAAATAAGCACCATTAAAGTACTTTGTAAGAACTCAAAAAATATTTTTAAGCACTATATACATTAATAAAATGCAAAATAATTCTCAAAGACTTTACATGATCATGATAAAATAACTAGTTTCTGAAAAAGAACTTTTTCTTTTATTATATTAGCCACCATAAGAAGATTGAGAGATTTTTTTGGCTTGATTTCAGAGGATGGAAAATGAAGCCCGAAATTGAGAATATCTTGCAAAATGCAGCAGAGTTGCACATGAGAATGCAAGAATCTCACGAAATTGAGCTCAGTAGACGCACATGCAGACATGCAAGTATTTCATCAAATAAGTAACATGATTGGCGCTATCATACTTACGCCAAAATGAATTGTGAAAACACTGAATAGAACAATGTGAAAACCACGCTTTTGCATAATACCCAGCGAAAATCGACATGATAAAAAAATCTCACTTTTGAAAAGGGAAAATTAAGCACTTTTTAAAATCGCCGCATGAAAAAAACACCTTTAAGGGCTTTTGAAAAACGAAAGTCTAAAATAGCCACCTTTAGCACTTTTTTAAAACGCTATGCACCATGAATATACTTTTGGTAAAAAAATAATTAATTAATTCGCTTTAATTAAAAAACTAGAAAATCAAACAGGCGTTTACCAACAGAATCATAAAATGCAAAATAAATATTTTTTTTTTATTATTCATCAATTAATCAGCATTGAATCACATTTATAGTTAAAGATTAATAGGCCTTGCCTGACAGGCCCAGTAGCAGAAACCTCTACATTGATTTGCAACAATATGAAAAATTACTTAAATTTAGTTTCAGAAAGTATGATAAAATAAATTTATTTAAATGTTGCATTTGCCACAATCGCAAATTTCAAAAACCAAAAATGTCTAATACAGTACAGAACCCATTATCCGGAAATCAGAAAACCGGAAAACCAAAAAACCGGAACGAAATTCGATAAATTTTCCCGCAGTTTTTAAAAAAAAAAAAAATTTTCCTCATAAGAATTTAGGATTTTTCTTTCTTTTTTGAAAGATGTTTACCTTACCATCATTTCAGAAATAATCATTAGTGCATTACCTCATCGTTTTTTGTTATTTTTAAGATTATTTCAAAAAAAATTTTTTTTTAAGTTGGGTTTAACACTAAAAAAACGGCTTTTTGTAGCGATTCAGAAAACCGGAAAAATCAGTTATCCGGAATAGCGATAGTCCCGATCGTTCCGGATAATCGGTTCTCTACTGTACAATAATACATGATAAATAAACAGTAACTTATGAAGATAAAATGCTTGTTAATACAAGGGAGATAAACTTTTCTAAATTAAACTATAGTTTGCCTACAGTAAGAACTCCCTCCACCACAAAGTCTGAGGCCATCTGCTGCTATGGAAACAAGAATAGCAGGGAGGGTAGATTCTCTTCAAGCTAGGGCTAACATAATAGACCGAAGAAAAAGATTCCCTTCTCTCACTGACCCGAGCCAAAACCTGTCCTAAACAATGATCCCTACTTGAAATAGTTATACCTCGTAATCAGAGTCACCGCCACGGGTCCGGACTAATGGCTAAGGGCGTGCTTACTTTAGACAAACTATACATTTTGTCAGTATTTTTTAACAATTGATTTGCTTTTGTGTGCAAAATCAAAATAAATCTGCGGTGTCTGCCTCTGTAATATGCTAGTTTTTGTACTAGGCCGCTGGACATGCAAGATAAAAACTTATGAAACCCATCTAAATTTTAATATGCCTTAAGCATGATGTCAATATATTTTTCAAGCCTGTCAAGCCATTATTTCCCAGAACTTGGCAAAAATGTATATAAGTTTAAGTTGGACTTTGACTATTAGAAAAGTCGAATATTTCAACATAATTCTAAATAGTTAAGACAGCTCTGGAGAAGACCTTAGAAATTTGAATGTCAAAATTATCTAGAATGTTATATTGAATAAAACTATTTCTAGTCGCGGATAATAATAATAAGTCACTTTTAAGTTGATAAAATTTTTGCGGATTAAAATAATAATTAAAAAACAAGTAATTTATGGTTCATAACTCTATTTCTGGAAAGAAATTATCTGATTATTCTAATAAATAATTCTAAAAACTATTACAAGCAGCAACAGAGTAAATGAAGAAAATATGAGAATGATTGGTATCAATATGTAAACATTATCATTCGCATATAGTGAATGTTGTATTATACAACATCATGGCATACCCCCTACATTGAAATACCAACAAATCAAGCTTATGAGTTTAAATTTGCCCACTATTTTAAGGTGCTTCAAACTGAAGACTCCTCATCATTAAACACATACAAACTCAAAAAAATTTAAGAATTCTTAGCTTTACAAAAACTAAATTAAAATCCACAAACTAATAAGTTGACATTTTTATAACATGTGTCAGCTTTTCTCGACTGCAAAATTGGTATTTCGACAGAAAGGACTTTTTTGTTTACTTCTCTTTTCACAAAATTAACAATTTTGGAGAAGAGATGCCAAATTTCAGGTTTTAAACTTTGTTATCTAGTTATAAGCAAAAATGTTCCTTTCTGAGTTTTTTAATATTAATATTCAATCCCCTGAATTTTCTAGATTCTTTGGGTTTCCCCTGCAATTATGACTAAAAAATGAACTGATCTTACTTTGATGGAGGAACATTCCAAACAGCAATTTTCTCATTGCTTTCTTTATCCAGAACAATGAAGTTGGGAACATTTGATTTATGATGCCATGGGGTTAAAACAACAACATACTTCTTACCGACACCAAGCAAGGCTTTCACTTTCAAATTCAAGTCGGACTCAGAAATCATTTTCTTCATCTTCACATCCCATTTACAAAGCACAGTTGTACCCCGATTATCTAAAGATTCTTTAGGAAAATATAAAAATTCTCCGTCAAAGTATAAACCAGGAGTAAAAAACGCCACATCATCCACATAACCTAGACCAATTGAGTATAAAGTAGTTAAATACAGGCCTTCGGGTAAAGTTGCTTGAGACATTAGGCTAACTAATCGAACAACAATCACAGTTTTATCCATACTAAATAACAAATGGCGATCTTGATGACCACTTCCTTTTTCTGCAGGATATGGACAAAGCATGACCTTCAGGACCCACCAAGAATGGTCTGAGAGACGTTTGTACAAGAAACCACTAGACAATGCCCAAATTTTGATTTTACAATCAGCAGATCCACTAACAACTACATTTAAATCTTGTGAGTAATCAAAAGAAAATATTGCACCACTGTGACGCATATACTCAGCTAGACGTTCCCCAGTAATAGCATCCCATGAGACCATGTGACCCAGGTATGATGAAGCAATAATAATGTTATCGTCAAACTTAATATAAGCAATGCTCGAATCAGTCCTTATGGTCAAAATGCATGACTCGTTTGTACAGTTCCAAATTTGGATGATTTTGCTGTCAGAAGCTGAAAAAAAAAAGAGAAATGTTATTTCAAATTGAAAAAAAAAAGAGCTATTTTAGACAGTTGCAAGCATTTAAATTTTATTTCAAGATTGATCTAAACAGGGGTAATTGTGAGCCCAACTCGAAAATCCTGAAAATTTCGTGAGTAAAATCATTAATGCCGCATTTCAAAACATGAAATTCTAAATAAACTATATGCAGCATAATTTAAATGAATGATTATGTATAAGTTTACTTTTATCTCTAATCACGTTTATTATCTACCAGAAAGAAAAATTTACAAATGAAAGAGATGCAAAGTATAAATTCTAGTTCTAATATTTGTAAATTAAATATACAAGAATTTTATACATAAATATAATCAACGATTTCTTGAAACTTCTGGACCTTGGATTCCGGAAATTTCACGATTGGGGTTAGCGGAAAATTCGGATTTTTCCGGTGCACAATCATCTCCGTCTAAATTAGTTGAATTTTTTTATAAAAAGAAATCATTGATTTAAACCAAATAATTATTTTTAAATAGAAATCATAAATATAAATATTTACAAAGTATTTTAATATGAGATTGTTTAATTTATTACTGATCTTCACAGTCATTAGTTCATGGTTACTTCATAGTTCATACGTTGCTGTGAAAATAAGCTTCAACTCACAAAATTACATTACAACTTTCGACAGGACATTTTAAAAATCTTTAACTGATGTGGATTTTTCAGAATGTTAACTAATAATAATAAAAATGTAGTGCAATTATTGAAATTTTTTTTTTAAACAATATAGAAGAAAAAATTTTTAAAATTAATTATGACATTAGTTTTTTAGTTTGCTTTTAAATAATTAATAATGATATGTTTCTATTCATTTTCAATGAATTTGAATCATACATTTGTATGCATAAAAATTAATGTCAATCATGCAAATTTAATGCAGTAAAAATTTCAGTGTTTAAAACTCAGAAGACTCTGTACATTTTTACTTCTACCCAGCTTACTAAAGAGACATTTAATATCAGAATTACTAATTACCAGTAGCAACTTTCCCTTTGTAGTAATATACAGCAGTAACACGACGAAGATTTCTATTATAAGTTTTATCTGTGAAGCATTTATAGGTTTTCATATGATGTCTTCTTTGAGCCATTTTAAGAAAAAAAGATTTCCAATACTTAGCATCGCCATTGTCTATGGATTTGTTAACTAGGAGACCAGAGCGTATACAAGCACCAAGCCAAACTCTTGATGAGGAGTTTATAACATCATTCCACACTTTGCTCACACTACAACAAGTCAACAAGGACTTTCCATCCAGAAAAGATAAAAGATGTTCCCTTAATTCAACAGGCAGAAGTCTGAGAAAGTCACGATGAAGCAGCTCTGATGTTTTAGCATGCAAGTGGCACAACTGGGATGATCCACTGCAAGCAATCAGGCAGTCAATTGTAAAATTTTTCTGGGTGTCATCAAGTTTTGCATAGTAGCTCATAACATTTTCTAGCCATTCTTCGTATTCTAAAATAGGAAATGTTCAATCAGTAAACTAAAAGTTGAAGAAAGATTAACATCTATAATAAAAGATATAGATTATAATAACACAAAAAAATTTCATTAATAATTGTGGTTCTGCAAGGAGCACAGAATAAAAAACCCTGAAAATTTTATGTGCAAAAAATCGATATTAATTTATCTACTATACATGTTTCATATTTAAACAAAACTTTTTGAACTAACATTTATAATTATAATACCTTCAAATGCAGACACCTTTAGAGTAACTAATTCAACAAAAACTTACTTCTTTCAAGAATCACGATATTGGATTTCAAAATCAAGCGAATATGAAGCGCCAGATTAGATTTTAATATTGGGTGAATAAGAATCGTGGCATTGGATTTTGAACTACAGTGAATACAAATCGATATTTGGATTAAAAAACGTGTAAATACAAATAGAGATATTTGATTTTTAAATCATGAATAGGAATTGAGATGTAAGATTTTTAAATTGTGTGAATACAAATCGCAACGCACATATTTTTTTTTCTTTCCAAAATCGACATTTTATATTAAAATCACGTGAATAAAAATCGCAATATTACCAGATTCTAAGAAAGAAACTGGGGAAAGAATGTATGTAAACATCCTGTTAACGGTTAGTATAAACCTTCAAAATTTTGTCGGATTATAAGATTTTGATTCACGGAAGTCCACGAACCAATGGTCTTGAGATACGCTGAATTCTGTGATATTCACACAAAAATCGCATGTCCTGCTTCTAGTTTTTAGACACAGAAGAATGATACGAAAAAATCTGAATTCCGGGATACGCCTAGAATACAATCACCCCTCGATTCTGATAGAATTTATTACAGACTTCTTCTATCCTCACAATATTAGGCCTCGCACTTAAAAATAACTACTCAGTATTAACAGGGTTGCCACTCAAATCTGAAAAAAAAATTCCCTGTGTTTTCCCTGTACATATTACACACAATATATTAAGAGGAAACAACAATTACTGAGCTCTTGTGTGAGCTATAGTGGGCTAACTATATATATTAGTTTTAATTGCTAGAAAAACAGCTGAACATACTTAAATAATGCTATAGTAAATGAAATAGTTTAGTATAGCTGAAATATCATGGTTAAATATCCTATAGATTACGCTTTGAGTAGTCACCATTTTTTAAAAGACAAAAGATAGAAACAAAATTCCCTGTATTTTGCCAGTTTGTAAAGAAAATATCCAAATTCCCTGTATTTTAGGTGATTTTTAAATTCCCTGTATTTTCCAGGTTTTCCCTGTTCTCCCTGTGGAGTGGCAACCCTGATTAATTTTCAAGTTTTCAATATAACACTTTATGATAAAAAATATTGTAGAGGTATGACACCTAGATATGTTTAATATGCTTTTGCGGAAAATTTTTGAGTATTATTTAAAAAATAATATTCATCATCTTAAAATTAAAAGAGCAAAGTACATAAAATTACAGAAAGTATTTACAATTCAATTTTAATGTAAAAATATTTGAAATTTCGCACATTTCGTCTTGTTTAAAAAAATTTAATTACATCAAGCTTTTAATAATAAAGCTTATAAAAGTATATTTACTCAGAGAAAAAAAAATTGCTTTATAAAATTTTTATTGTAAAAAATATTTTGAAATAAGTCATTGAAATGCATTAGTTTTGAGCATAATTTGGTTAAAAAAATTTTAGATAAAAATACAGAATTGTCAAAAGATTTAAGTTTTTTCAAGACATTGTTTTATATATAGGAAATTTAATTTTCTAAATTCAGACTTTTGTTTAAGTTCACTAAACAGTTCTCAAATTTTTTAACACGTCCGCTGCCACCGACGCACTAGCGCGTCGATCGACTATGATAAGTTATATGCTCTGTGTTTAGTGTGGCTTTGGAAATTGAACGGAGAGGTTGTTTCGGCACATTAGTGAAGCATTATTTTTTTAATTTTTGTGGTTGGTTTTCAAAACTTTTGTTTGAATTTTTTTATGTGCGTGACTGCCAATATCTGTATATTGTGCTTATTATTTGCAAATATTTTCAGTATTGTTTCATAAATGGTACTACATATACNAAATCTGACTTTCTGTGCCTTACAAGTAAATGAAATTAAATAATACTATATCGCGATACATCGCTATATCGCGATGCAAAACTGACGATATATCACGATACATAATTTCTAATATCGCCCAGTCCTACCCAGAATACAATCACCCCTCGATTCTGATAGAATTTATTACAGACTTTTTTTATCTTCACAATATTAGGCCTTGCACTGAAAAATAACTACTCAGTATTGATTTTCAAGTTTTCAATATCACACTTAATGATAAAAAATATTGTAGAGGTATGACACCTAGATATGTTTAATATACATGAATGGTGCTTGCGGAAAATTTTTGAGTATTATTTAAAAAATAATATCCATCATCTTAAAATTAAAAGAGCAAAGTACATAAAATCACAGAAAGTATTTACAATTCAATTTTAATGTAAAAATATTTGAAATTTCGCCTCATTTAAAAAAATTTAATTATATCAAACTTTTAATAATAAAGCTTATAAAAGTATATTTACTCAGAAAAAAAAATTTGCTTCATAAAATTTTTTATTGTAAAAAAATAATATTTTGAAATAAGTCATTGAAATGCATTAGTTTTGAACATAATTTGGCTAAAAAAGTTTTAGATAAAAATATAGAATTGTCAAAAGATTTAAGTTTTTTCAAGACATTGTTCCATATTTGAAAAATTTAATTTTCTAAATTCAGAGTTTTTTTTAAGTTCACTAAACAGTTCTCAAATTTTTTAAGCAAGATATGCAGGATTTTCCAGTTAAGTTTAGTTGGAGTAAAAAACATACCACGTTTTCCCCCAAAGATACAGATTGAGTACCTCTACTGTGTACAATGTCTAAAAATAATTAAAATTATGCATTTTTAAGAGTAAAATAGAAAGGTTCTCAGGATCAATGATGTGAACACTAACATTAACGGCAAATGCTGTGGATTAAAACTTTTCAATAAACTTGAAAAATTGTAACACAAATGAGGCTTAAATTTAGAAGAGAAAAAAAGACGAATAGTTGTAATGGCTTTATTAGATAAATGCGGCAATGTCCACAAGACTCTACATGGATTTACCAGCGGAAAAAATTAATTCCAGGCTCCTTTAATAACACACAATTTTTATTTTCATATTTTGTATAATTTTTGAAGAGTCTTTATATAAAATTGCTTTTTATACATATATAAAGGAATTATCTGCAATTTTATTTTAAAAAATTTACCATGCAACATATCATTTCTGTCAGGGCATAGAGCCTGACCTTGTATGTCCAAATTCAGATATTATTTTAATGAGTGGATGATAGGTGTAAAAAAGAGCTGAGAAAATGATGACAAGCAAAATGTATAATAAAAGCTATTAATCAGAAACGTCAACCTAAGTGGGTGAAGCAACTTATTAATAAATAAAATGCATCATTACATTGGTAGGAATTTTCCAATAGGGAGATTTCCATAACGTGCTCTGTGGCAGAATAATCACCAAGTCTTGACAACTTCCGAGCAGCGGTCCGCGAGTAACTAAAAATAGCATCACAGAAATGGACCGGCTCGAAAGGTATAATGTATAACCACCCCTCGGGCAGGCTGATTTCGGCATCGTGATCTGTAGCAGAATAATTGCCAAATCCTAGAAACTTCCGGGCAGTGGCCAGTGAGAAATTTAAAAAACATCACAGAAAGGGACCAACTAGAAAGGTATAACTCGTAGCCACTCACGGGCAAATATCTACATGCTATTTTCAAAAAAAATTCAAGTTTAAAATCAATTTGGCACCTTAGCGATCGTAGTTGGCGGGACAGATAATGATATGGAATTATCCCCCCTCAAGCAAATGTCTACTTGTTCTTTTTTTTTCTTTTTCAAATTAGCAAATTTAAAATCTATCTGGCACCTTGGCGATTGCAGTTGGCTAAACAGATCAGATACGAAAATATCCATTTCAGAATAAGTTTTGAATCATAATATACATCTTTTTACTAAGTAAATACCGGTAATCATGTTACAAAAAGCAATTGAAACTTTTAATACGAATGAAAAATATTCATTTTTCATTGGAAATATCATGTAGATATTAAAATAAAACTTTTTTTAATTAGAATTTTTGTGAAAACGTATTATTCAGGAAAAAAAAATTAAAATAAGAAATCTCGAAGAAGAAATATTCTATTTTAGATATATTTTTTTCTCTTTCTATATTGATATAATGGAGTATGACATTCAAAAAAAATTAGAGGAATAAATGAATCCTAATTTATTTTTCAAGATGTAAAACTACATAAAATAAAATACACATTTTTATAAGAATTAGATTTCTGAAAAAGTTTAAATAAATTTAATAATAAGGAAAAAAGCAAACTGTTAAATATATTTCAGCTTTTAAAAAATTTAACAGAAAAGTAAAATTGGAAACAAAAAACATAAGAATTTTTTAGGAAAACAAGAATATAGACAGTAAATTCGGTTTAGCAAAAATATGATGCAAATCAACCATTCTCGAAAAAATATTAATTGCAAGAAATGATTTATTCCTTAAGAGTTAATTTTATTTAAAATAAAAGGTTACTCTGATTTAAAATTTGGAAATTTATTAATAGATTTTGTACGAACCTCCATCACTTTTGGCAGCCATGTTGGTGTAAATCGAAAATATGTAAACCGAAAACAAAATACTCAATTTTGTTTTTTTTTTCTTCAAAAATTTTTAAGTGTATATTTACTTTTTAGAAATATTAATTAAACATTGCAGTATTCTTGAAAATAATTTATTATTTCGTGCGAAAAAAGATAAGGGAAATAGTTTTTATTAGAAATAATTAATTTGTAATATTTTGTTATTTCAAAATTGGCATTGTAGCAATAATGGCGTCATATGGTATGTTTATGTTGTTTATATTTTTATAATTTATTTGTTTACGATTGAAGATATTTATTTAAATTTTTAAACTATCGAGCTAATAGTTTAAGTTCTGTTGCTATGAAGTCTTTCAAGTTACAAGTTTAAACTTTTCGCTTGTTGAATATTATTATAAAGCTACAGAATAACAAAAAAAACTTAACTTTAAATAAGGTTTATTGAATATTCTTTTTTAAATAAAGATGTATAACATGATGTAATTTGTATTTAAACAAACTCTTTACTTCTCTACTAACTAATTATTGATCACGCATGTTTTAATTGTAAACAATATTAAGTTTTAGAGGACCAATCATTTCCACGCAGTTAATATTTGAGGTTCATGATTGGGATATGTACAGGTTTATTGATTAGTGTCACTGTCCCTAACATTTTAATTTTATTATAGCGATGATTTTTTCCAGAATTTTATTCTAGTAACATTTAAAATTGTTTCAACTCTTGATTTATCCCTTACTTTATTGGCATAATATTTATTGCAATGTGGATTACTGTTGGATCTATCATAGCCATTTCAACCTACTCCAAAACAGGTTATTCAACTCAAAATAGTTGCAATTTATGTTAGCTGTGTTTCAATAAGAACTTTTTTTTCAGTATTTTATATAAGTGTATTTTTAAAAAAAAGAAAAACATGTAGATGTTTGCCCAGGAGTGGTTACGTCGAGTTATACCTTTCGAGTTGGTCCCTTTCGGTGATGTATTTTTTAGTTTCTCACGAGTCGCTGCCCCGAAGTTTCCAAGACTTGGCGATTATGTTGCCACAGATCAGGAGATTCGAAAATCTCTCCAATACTAAGTGTTTTACTTTACTAACAAGAGATAGTTTGAATAATATGTTTGAATTTTTTTAATTTTATTTCTGATTTGTGAAAAATCCTTCTTTAATTTGTGTTAACTTACTGATGGTATTTGGCCTGTGAAATCTGATTATTGTTATCCCCATGAAAATGTTGAAATTCAGAAATACCTTTTGAGGAGCTTTCAGCTGGAAGAATTTGTCACTGTAATTGATAGTAACTTTTTCTGATTCTGCAGAGATTTCCATTCCGGATTCTCTGCTAAAATTGTTACCAAAAATCCCATATTACTATTTTTTCTCCGATGTTATTACAACACGCGAGTTTTAAACTACACAGTTAAATAACCACTTTTTGAATCGCTTTGTTTTTGCTGATTTCATTGTAAACCCAAGCTATTTTCAATAATTATTTTGACGGTGTTTGTGGTGCATCGCCACAAGGTTTTAAATATTCAGATATTTATTTGAGCATGCGAGTCTCAAATCACACATTTAAATAATTACTTATTGATGCGTTTTATTCATGCAGATTTCATCGAAAATGTAAGTAATTTTTTGTGTGCAGTTATTGCGATATTTTTCCACATGATTTGGTTAATCTTGTTATTATAACTATGATTTTATTAAGACACATACATTTTTAATCGCTTTTTTAAATTTATTTTTATGCAATTTATTTATGTGTATTTCATCACAAATATAAATTATTTTTTCTTCGTTTTTTTCGGCAGTTAGGACCATACATTTCTACGTGGTATTTGGAATCCCAACATTTTATTACAATGTTATTGCACTATGAAAAATTCAAAAAGTTGAGGAAAACGGGAATTTTCAAAACACGTACTGTTTGTAATTTTGGTTTAAATTTTTTGTAGCTCAGGTTATGTTTTTAGGAAAAACTGAGCAAGAAAACGTTTTCTATTTAAAATTCATAAAACCTCTAATAATTCAAGAAAAATAAGTATCTGAAGTACATTACAAATAAATATTGAATCTTATTTTGTACTAAAATAAATTTGTTTTAATTTTTGGTTTTTGTTTTAGCTCTTTAAATTTGATTTAATTGAAATGTTCAATTCAAATTTATATTACTCATTAAAATATGCATGTATTTTTCACATTTTCATTTCGTAAACATGGCACTTTTTTTTAAAATTTATATTTATTTTTTCCATTATATATATATATATATGTAATACAAAAAGTAAATACTTTTGTATTAATAAACGAATTAAATCTCTTTCGTTTTCATAAAATGTCTTTGTTAAAGAATAAGCGTAGAGAGATTCTATTTTGGGAATTCAAGGCTGAAAACATACCATTGAAATATAAATAGATTTATATTTCAAAGGAAGAGTTATTTTTAGAATCGTTCCCTCTGTCACTTCCATATAAGGAAGCAGTAAATGATTTTCCTTAATGCGTAAGGTTA